TGGTGATTGATGATGAGGTTAGGGTTAGGGTATGACTCTGATACCAACTTGGAATAAAGGTAAGTGAAAAAGGGATCCAAACTAAGTGTAGAGCCCCCGTATATATAGTCAATAAGAGTTACCATAAGGACAAAAAGGTAAAAAAGGAAAACTTAATAAAACCCTAATAAACTAGGTTGCTGCTATATCTCCAACATTTAGCAAAGTCAGTCCTTGGGTAATTTGCATGCTGCATGCCCCTTCATGTTTTCTAGTTGACCATATGGATGATTGGCCTGGTGACTGAGAAGCCTTGAAATATGTCTCCACCTCCTTTTTCTTTTGAATATTAGGGTGTGGCTCATATGACCACATACACTTTATTGTCTAAAAATAACACTGTAGATGCAATTTGTTTCTAGTTTCAATTGAAAGAGTGTTGGAAAGAGACCCTAGCTTATAGTACAAGTGTTACAAAAAATTTACCACACCTGTTTGGCAGCCTTTTCCTTTATCTGTGTATTACAACATGTCATCTTCAACTTCTTTCATTTTTTTTTTTTGTTTTCAGAGTTTTTGGGCTTGTGGACAAAATAATCTTTGTCTTCCGCTTTCAAGGTCAATCAGACTATGGTTAAGTGTCCATAATTATTTCTTATCTTAAATGAAGATGCTGATAATGTTCTTAACCCAATTTAGTCCCAATTTCCCACTTCTGTAAATCTTTCTGAGTTCCTTGCAGGGCACAACAAATTTGTCACAGTTGTGGTTGTTATCAAAGTTGTTAGTATCGTACGATACGCGATACGTATCGTACGATACGTTACGATACAGCCCTAAAACGATACGGATCGTAGTTATGTATCGTTTTTGCGTTGTATCGTCCGATACACGATACGTTTTTACGATACGATACGTATCGGTACGAAACGCACGATACGTGCAAATTTTTTTTTTTTTTTTTTTTAAAACGACGTCGTTTTGTGCTCTGAATTTTTTTTTTTAATCCCCTATAACCACTGAAACGACGTCGTTTCAGTGGTTAGGGTTACAAAAAAAAAAATCAGACATTTCTCACATATTCGACGACGTCTGGTTTCTCTTCAGCCATCGACCGACGTCTGGTTTCTCTTCAGCCATCGACCGACGTCTGTGGTTTCTCTTCAGCCATCGACCGACGTCTGTGGGTGGGTGATGATCGACTGTGGGTGGTGAACGTTGTTGTAGGTGGTGATCGCTGTGGGGTGGTCTTCGACTGTGTGGGTGGTCTATCGACGACGTCTGTGGTTTCTCTTCAGCCATCGACTGTGGGTGGGTGATGATCGACTGTGGGTGGTGAACGTTGTAGGTGGTGATCGTTGTGGGTGGTCTTCGACTGTGTGGGTGGTCTTCGACTGTGTGGGTGGTCTCCGACTGTGTGGGTGGTCTCCGACTGTGGGTGGTCTTCGAGTCTGGGTGGTGATCGATTGTGGGTGGTCTCCAACTGTGGGTGATTGCCGGTCTTCGTCTGTGGGTGATTGCTTGTCTCCGACTGTGGGTGTTGATCGCTGCCTTCTTCCTTCTCCAGGTACTCCTTCTTTTTCTTCTTCTTCTTCTTCTTCTTCCCAGTCTCCATTGATCGTTGGTCCTGTGCAGTATGTAATGATATTAATTTATTTACAAAGCCAAATGTATATAAATTTTTTTGTATAAAAATTTTTGAATCTTGATTAATTTTAATTTTGTGCAACAGTGGCATCACCTGCATCCAATTTTCATATAGAAATGACTAAAAAACTTGCTAATGATCCCACATGGGAACATTGTGACAAAGTAGAAGGATCAAGGTTGAAATTGAAATGCATTCATTGTGCAAATGTCTATTGGGGAGGCATTTCAAGAATGAAAAATCATTTGGCAAGTAATCGCAAAGATGTAGCAGCCTGTAAGCATTGCCCTGAGGAAGTAACTGAATTTTTTAAGCAATTATTGGATGATAGGGCAATTAGCAAAGATATGAGTCTTGTGGATTCGAAAAGTAGTGGCAGTGTGGGTAGTACTACTGCTGATAAAATACAGCCAACCACCACAATTACTTTGAATACTATGTTGAAGAAAAAGGGTAGGGAAGATGTATGCTTGGATATTTGTAGATGTTTTTATGCTAATGCCCTTCCTTTTAATTTGGTAAAGGATCCATATTTTGTAAGAATGTTAGAATCTGTTGCATCGTTTGGTAAGGGATTGAAACCTCCATCGTATCATGAGGTGAGATGTTCTTTTTTGAAAAAAGAAACAAATTTGATTAATGGTGGGTTGATGGAAAATTATAAAGCAGAGTGGAGAAGGACGGGTTGTACTCTTATGTCTGATGGATGGACTGATGGGAAACATCGCTCTATCACTAATTTTTTAGTGAATAGTCCTAGAGGAAGTGTGTTTCTTAAAAGTATTGATACTTCAGGTATTTGTAAGAATGTGGATAATCTTTTTGAGCTTTTAGATTCAATGGTAGAAGAGATTGGTGAGGATAATGTTGTTCAGGTTGTAACTGATAGTGCATCGGCTTATGTAAAAGCTGGGGAGTTGTTAATGACAAAGAGGAAAAAGTTGTTTTGGTCTCCTTGCGGTGCACATTGTCTAGATCTCATTTTGACGGATATTGGGGACCTTCCTCTGCACAAGGATATAATGTCAAAGGCAAGGAAAATCACAGTTTACATTTATAGACATTCTTGGGTGTTAAATCTTATGAGAAAGTATACAAAGAAAAGGGATTTGGTGAGAGCTTGTGTAGCCAGATTTGCCACCTCATATTTAACTTTAAGGAGTTTATTTGAAAATAAAATTGGGCTTAGAGCAATGTTTGCTTCTGAGGAATGGCAGAGAAGTCAATATTGTAAGAAGGGAGATGGTGTAAAAGTGATGGATATTATACTAGCTGACCAAAATTTTTGGGGATCAATCAAGTATTGCTTGAAGTGTGTGTTGCCATTGATGAAGGTGTTGAGGCTTGTAGATGGGGATCTAAAGCCTGCCATGGGGTATATTTATGAGGCAATGGACAAGGCAAAGGAACAAATCCAAAAGAATTTTCGTAATGTGAAGAAGCACTATGAGCCCATATGGACTATTGTTGACACTAGATGGAACATGCAATTACACAGACCTCTTCATGCAGCTGCCTATTATCTCAATCCCGCGTAAGACTTAATTTTCTCAATTTTTATATCATTTTATATCTATATATTGTATGCTGATCAATGATCATTGTAAATCAAAATAATTATTTCAGGTTTCATTACACCGGTAGTGCGGACTATGAGATAAAGATGGGACTATATCAGACTATTCAGAGAATGTGCCCAAGTCCTATTATGAGAGAAAAAGTTGATAAACAATTAGATATCTTTCATAATGTTGATTTGATGTTTGGAATGAACATGACAATCCAAATGAGGAAGAAGAAACAACCTGGTTAGTGGTAACTTAACTTAAGTTAGTTATTTGAATGTAACTGCTTAAGTTAGTTAATAGAGTATTCTATTGTAATTTTTTATAGCCTTGTGGTGGGAATCATTTGGAGGATGTTGTCCAGAGTTGCAACAACTTGCTATCCGCGTCCTTAGCTTGACTTGTAGTGCCACTGGATGTGAGAGGAATTGGAGTACATTTGACCAGGTGCACTCTAAGAGGAGAAATCGATTAGAGCAACAAAGATTAAGTGCACTTGTGTTTGTGAAGTACAATCTTCGATTGGAGGCAAGACACCAAAAGAGAATACTAGAGGGTGATTCCTATGATCCTATTTCTCTCTCAGATATGGAATCTGATGATGAGTGGATCACTGAAAAAGAAGATGCACTCCTTCCTGAGGACACTACTTGGATGAATGTTGGTGAATGTTTTGAGGTTCAAGAAGGGACTAGCAAAAAGAGAAAGAGAGGTAATTAAAATGTAGTGGTTGTTTTTTCTTCTTCTCCATTACTTTGAATTTTATTTTTTTTATATTTTGTATTGGTTGCTTTGTAGGGCCTAGAAATCTTACTTTATACAAGAAAAAAGGAAAGCAAATAGTTCAACTTGAAGATGAGGATGAGGATGAACAAATACAAGAAGTTGAAGATGATAAAGGAAGTGAAGACTTGTTGGCATCCGATCACAATGATGATGATGATGATGCATTTTCAATTGAAATTGAAGATTGAGTTCAAAATGGATGTTAGAAATTTGGATTAGAAGTCTCTTTGGTGTTTAAAGTTTGAATTAGTGAACTATGGTTTTGAACTTTGCATTATAATAGTAGTGGATTATGTTGATAACTTGAATAGTTGGTGGAGTATTAATGAAATGCTATATTTTTTATGAGTGTATGACTTTTTTTCAAAGGTATATATATTTTTTTATTATTTATTTAAAATTGCATCGTATCTTACGATACACGATACGATACAATATTTGTATCTTACGATACGCCTTCCGATACACGATTTGATAACTTTGGTTGTTATCATTGTATTCATCTTTGTTAGTGTTTCTTAATTTTTCGTCTGTTTGCGTCCTTTAAACCAATTGCAGAGTATATAATGCTAGCTAGTGTCTATTACTATTTTGCCTTGGTGACTTGTGTTGTCTCATGTTTGTTTTTCCAATTCTGTTTTGTGAATTAATCGGGGTGGACTTTTGCAAAGACTTACAATTTAATTTGTTCAAATTGACCAAGATTGAAAGGAAGGTTTTTACCCAAACAATGTGTCACAGATCATTAAGTTCCCAATTTGGGTCTTAGTTCCCAAGTTTTTCTGTGGTATGATATGGTTAAGTGCATTTTGATGTGGCTGATCATGGAATCATTTATCAACAGCAGCAACTTTAGTAATGAATTGTAAATGTAGAGTTGTATTTCCCGTGTGTGTATGCAGATTCTATCCCCTACTGAAAATGGGTCAGATACTTGTTTTTCTTGAAGTCAAGGTATGCATTTCCTTTTTTTTTTCTTTTTTCTGTTGTATACATTCTCATCTCTTTTGAAGCACTGAAGTCATTGATATGTCTTATTCCGTAGTGTAGCCTGGATATGGCACATTTGCTATTGACTTCCATATTTCAAAGTATGCAAAACCTTCTCCAGAAGATAAAATAGTAAGCATCTCTTAAACCAATGCTCACAAAGTCCGTAGAAGTTTGCACAAGATTGTAATGAGTTGAGCAAGATTTCCCTTATATTTTGATTCAGTGAAAACTGGCCCATTTGCTGTTGAAGTGCATGTGACTCTTGTTGATATTAATTCAGGAATAAGGCTAGTGTCGGTCCTGTGTATATTGGTTGTTGAGCACTGACTCACTTAGCAGGGGGGGCTTGGGTGCCAATATTTCCGGCTTAACTCCCCTGTTTACTACAAGTGATGGAATGCCCACCAGAAAGGAAAGCGGGAGGATGGAATTAGTGGTTGGTTTCAAGAGGAGTGGATGTAGTGGTAGGTTTTTGCATGCATATGCATTGGCAAACACCCAACCCCCCTGCCAAAAAAAACTAGAGAGAGAGAGAGAGAGAGAGAGAGTTCTTTCTGGAAAGGGAAAGATTTGTAGTTGGGGAATTTGCCACATGGGCAATTAATTTTGCCAAGTTGCTTGTGCACGTGTCAAGTATATGCTATTCCAGAAAAAGTTGTTAACAATTTGTGTATATGGTTGTGCCTTCTTGGTGCTATATATGGTATATATAAAAAAGGATGGGGGTGGTAATTATCTGGTTGTGTAGGTAACATCATCTTGGGATGTAGTTCATGTCTAGAACCTCTGTTCCTTTGTTTATATCAAATATTTACCCTCAAAAAATTTTCAATTGTGCCAATTGTTTCACCTGCCCTCCTATAGAAGTGTTTATATGTAGTTGAATTGATAAATTTGTCAACCATAATTCTTCTGACTCCAGATTCTTAAGTTGCAGCTAATCTTCTACATGTCCGTGATGCATTAGCTTAATTAATTTATATTCTTGCAAGTAATTTGATTTTTTTCCAACTAGAGGCTGCCCATATATTTGAGCATTATGCTACTGTTAATTATTTTATACTTGCTGATGTCAATGATTTCTTCAGCATGCTATATACACTGTCACGTGAGCAGTCAGGATATGACTTGTATTGAGAGTATACGATTTGTGATTTGAATCGTATGATTTGGTTAGATACAGATAAAAAACGATTCGTATCTTATATGAGAATCGTTTTTAAAGTTAAATTGCACCTGAATCGTATGATTTGATTCGTATTGCACGATTTAGTCACTTTATTTTAAAACCCAGATTTTTGGCAAAATGACGTCATTTTGTCCGCTAATAAAAACTCGTCATCTTTCGCATTGCGCTATCTAAAGCTAAAGGTCACGGCTAAAGCTCTCGCATCATTGGCTGAGTTTTGATCTTAATTTTTTCATGGGTAGTTTGTTAGGTTCTAATTTTTTGTTTCAAAATGTTGGTTTGTATGTTTTTTTCCAATCAATTTTCTTATTTGTTCTTTTTTTATTCATGTTTGTAACCTAATCTGTTATGGGTGTTATTGTTTTGGTTTCTTGAATCACTATGGCGCTTTAATGAATTTGTTTTTCAAGTTGTTGAATTTGAAAATGGTTAAATAAAAGATAAAAAAGAGGTGAAAGACTAACGTCTTTTTATTTAGACGACGTGATTATATTAGTTGATTATTTTAGAATGCAATAACGTTTAATATTCAATATCTTGCCTATTTTAAATATGTAAATATTATTTTTTATTTTTTTTCAAATTTTGTGTCGAACCTTATGATTCATGATTCTCGATATGAATCGTGATTTGACAACTATGAGTATAACCCATACCATATTGCTGTCAGTTAATGCTAATTGGAATAATCAACTTTCTGGTCTACAATTGTTGCATCCTCCTACTTTTGCTTATATTGTTCCTTTTGTATATGTACAAGGTAAAAAATGTGAACATAAACTTGAAAAAATAAGACTACCTTTATTTACATTTTGCCTGCAGCGGTTATTTGTTGCTCAGACAGATAATATAGAGACATCTTCATGTATCATAAGCCCACCACAAGTAAAGTATGAATCTTTTCCCTTACATTTTTTGATGAAAAGAGTTACGCTGAATTTATTCTGACTGGCTGTTCTTTTATTTCTGTAGCTTTCTGTTGAATGGAAAGGGAGTGGAGAGAAGGACTAATGTTTTCATGGTTTGTTGTGGATGCTATATTGGAAGAATTACTATATATGCTATAGTGTGTATGATGCAAATTAAAAAAGTTTGATGCATATTTTGTTTTTTTCCGACCAGGACACCGGACCACAGATTCCGACAGTTGTGACGCCTTTGCTGAAATATGGAACAAATCTTCTCCAAGCTGTGGGCGAGTTTAATGGTATAACCAACACATAATCTTCCATGTCTAATATTTGGTTTTGTTGTTGGAAATCCATCTGCCACTTGACAGTATCTGTAAATCATTGTGAAGGAAGTTATATAGTTTTTGTTGCTTATATGAGTGTGGTCTCTACCCCTGACTGTCCTGCCCTAGAGGATTATTCGCATCCTGCTATTGCTGCATTGGATTCAGGTATGTCCAAGCAAGAAAAAGGAAAAGGGAGAATGGTTGTTTGTTTATTCTCTGTTTTTTGGTCATTTTATGATGTGCAATGAATTCTCTGCAGTCAAACATCAAATTCTTGCTCTGTTTGTCTATATTTTAAGTTCTTTTTGTACGCTTTTTTCCTTAATAGATTCTGAGATAATTGAGGGACCATCACGAATATCAATAAACTGTCCCATAAGGTATGTTATCTTGTTTGTTGCTTAAAAAAAAAATTGCTTTTCACTGTTTTCCAAAACCTCTATTGTTCTCTAGTTATGCAGATCCTATGGAGTATGGAGTATACTGATTTCATCTTTTGTGTATTTTGTTAATTATTTTGCCCTTTAATGAGTAGTCAGATATTCTAATTAGACGATGGTCCCTTTTCTTCTGATATCAGCTGAATTAAATTGATGAATTCCTGTTAATTTATCTTGATTCTCAATCTTAAACAGCTTCCGGCGTATTACAACTCCTATCAAAGGGCATTCATGTAAACATCTTCAGGTGAATACTCCACAACCAAAACATATTTTATCTTTAAAAGTGGAGGTGGGAACTTTTACATGTTGAATCATAATCTAATAGTTTTTGTGATATGATAATGTTTAAATAATCCTATTTTTGAGTTTGTTTCTTCGTAGTTAGTGAGCTCATCTTTTCTTTCCTATCCAAAACCCACTTTGGTATGTTTTTGTATGTGAGTTCTTAAAAGTGCTACCAATTGTTATTCGCTTAGAAGTTGTTGCATGAATATATAACTGGGAAGACTTTGTGAAGTGACAAATTGCCTGGGAGATAAGTACAATTGATTGACCTAAAATGAGGCCCTCTAAAATTTGTTCCTCAAAGTTCATATTTTCTGGATTTGTCTTATTGTCATACACCCATATTAGTATAGGTTATGGCGTGCTAAATCTGTGGGGATCATCTTCGATAATGGCGAGTCTGCAATCAAGCTGTTGTATATTTGATTGGCTTGAAGTTCTGCACTGTCAAATGTACAAAGGAATGTTGTAACAATGGAATATGTTACCAATATCGTGATCGCTTTGAAAGAGCAGTGATTTTAAATGCTATTTAGCCATCAAGCTTTAACATCATAAACAATACTTGGGCCATCTAAAAATTGTCTGCAAGACAACCAAAATCCATGCTTCCTTCCCCTAACCTTTCCTGAAGAAAAGGTAGGAAAAAAAAAAGAAGAAAAACTAATGTTGCTATGCCCCATCTTTATTTTTTTTCCTTTTTGCTCTTTCCATAAAAGTGACCCCTTTTCCTTTTTTAGTGTTTTGATTTTGACAACTATGTGGACATAAATTCAAGAAGACCATACTGGCGCTGCCCACATTGTAATCAGTTTGTCTGCTTCACTGACATCCGTATTGATCAAAATATGGTCAAGGCAAGTACTTTTGTATTTGTAATTTCAATTTCCTTTTGATTTTGATTTTTTTAGTTTTGAGTTATAATTTGTTGGTTTTACCTTCAGGTCTTGAAAGAGGTGGGAGAGAATGTTGCTGATGTGATCATCTCGGCAGATGGATCATGGGAGGCCACCAAGGAAAGTGAGGATCCTACAGACCAGCCACATGATAATACTCCCAATTGCAAGCAAGATGGGTCTGTGCATCAAGAATCTGCTATCTTCCCAAATGCTCCTCCAGATGTTCTGGATCTCACCGAGGGAAATGATGTCATGGATGCAGTGGGAAATGAAGACAGAAAACCTTCCCCCGCTAATTGTCTAAGTCAATCTAATACTGAGATTCTGACAACCTGCCTTAATACGTATCATATGAATGAGGTTAATGAAAACAGTTCTCGTATTGGTCAAGTTTCTGTGCCTGCTCCTTCAAATTATATGCCGTCTCCCGTGTTAACTGACGCGGTTTCTCCTGCTCTTAATCGAGAAGTGGAGGCTTTTGGTGGAAATGCTATCCTTGCATCCTCTGTTCCAGATAGTCAACTTCCTGTTCCTGCTAATTTGCAAGTACAACAATCGCAATTTGGGAATTCCAGTCTCAGCAATGAAAATCAGAGATTCCCATCAATACCCAGGCATGTAAGCAGAACACCAATTGCAGTTCAGGCCCTTCCAGTCCAGAATTCTATACATGTTACCACACAAAGATCAAGAAATAGTTTGAATACCTTGGCCCCCTGTGGTCCTTCTGCTGCTTCTCAGAGTTCTTCTGCTGTGTCATTACTCACAGATGGTTTCAATGCAGCATCCAGTAATTTGGGAAGGCAACCCCAATTTTCTAGATCTCATTTCAATCCACTTCAAGTGTCGCACACATCCTCATCTTCGTCACTGCAATTTTCTGGGACACAGGTAAGATAATATTCCAGATACTCATTTACTGCTTGTTTTTTTATGGCTTTGCATGTTATTGCCAATATAGGGTTCCTGGGTTCACTTCATATCCTTTTTCATGGTTGTTTAACCGTGTTTTCACTTGTAGAACTGGGATCATCAAAATCGCTCATTAAATCCTGGCCAAACAGCTCAACAGATGGTGGGTCGTCCAGAGTTAAGTCTACTCCCAGGTGCTTACAGATTTTCCCCCGCACGACTAGCAGCAGACCATAACTCAAATCAGCATCTACCTTTGAAGATGAGGGTTCCCCATGCCATGGGTCCTTCCCCAAGCCTGGTGCAGTCATCTGCACATTTCCCTCGTCCTGAACCTAATCAAGGAGGTACGCAAAATAGAACTGGTCAGGCAACAGGTGTCGGTGATGGCCAACAGGTGCGGTTCATGTGCATTGCTGTGTGCTGCCCTGCAGGCTACAAAGTCACCATCTATGCCATCTCCATTCCAAACATCTAGAACATCTCTTTCTTTGAGTGCTGATGGGTTTCATTCGTCAGTTGCAGAGCAGAGAGAGAGTACAGGAGCAGTGCAACCAGTGGATTCGCCACCCGAACAGAATTGGCGCCCCACAGGTAGGATGCGTGGAAGCCTATCGGGACGGGCTTATTCTGATGCTGTAAGCCAATACATTATCAGGCCAACCCAGCCAGTTCAAGCTGCTAGACCATTATCAAATATGACCTTGCCCCCAGCAAGTGTACCATCCCACTTGCAAGTCCTGGTGGCAAATAGCAGGAATGCCCATGATCCTCAAGCAGCAAACCATGCATCGACAGAGCCAGCTTGTATGTCTGGAAGCCTAGGTGTTCTATCACCGTAGCCTTTGTGACACTGTGGAGTTCAACAGGTGAGGCTGTAAATTGCATTTGGTAAATATGGTCGCTTGTACAGTTACCTGAGTTCTTGGAGGTGGATGTTTTTCATGGTTTTATGGTGGTTCTGGTTTAGTTTTTCTTTTGTTCTCAAATGAGGATTCTCATTGTCCTGTTACCTGTGTTTTCTACGTAATATTGGTGGTGTTTGGATAGTCATGTGGGAGTGGATAGGAATGACGTTGTTTATTCTTTTCAATCCAACCCAATCCAATACAATCTGCATTGCCTTGGAAATCGGCTGCATTGGCTTGGAAAAAGGGATATACCTAACCAATCTTGTGTTTGACAAATGAATTTATATTTTTGTGGGATCCACGTATTAGTTCATGATTTAAAAGTTTTATTTTAATTGAATTTTATCATCGTCTCTTGGGCAATCTAACATTTTGAAAAAAAAAGGGTTATAATAGTCTTTTTGCAAGAAATTTCATTGGCCCCAAATTTTACTCAAACCCCAAACCCACCTACAATTATTCAAATCGGGTGTTGGATAGGCCCAAATGGTGATATTCCTGCACCTCTTTTGCTTTCCGAATATGGGATAAATGGAATCTAATTGGATGACAAATAGGCAATATTTGTTTTCCTATCATTATTTCAACATTACTATAATAATATTTGGGTAATTGGGTTGATATGTTAACCCACCGGACTTGGGTAAGATACCAAAAATAAATTATTTTTCGGTACTATATTTTTTCTTTTTGAGCTAATAAAATAATAAGGCATGCAAATTACTTTCATTTTACTACGTTTAAACCAAACGATTACAATTGAATCAAAGAAAAATCAATGGCCAAATATTATTTAGCGTAACATTAAAAGTTATTGATAGTTTAAATAATTTTGGGTGAATTTCACTTTGTACGCTAAAGGCTGTAAAAATCTTATTTTATACTCTCAAAGATTAAATTTCTCATATTGTCTCATCAATGTTTCAAAAGAATTATACTGTGATTCTTCTGTTAATTTTTTATTAATTTTTTTGTCAATGTCAATAAGTTGATTTTTTACGAAAAAATCAACAGAAATTAATAGAATGATTATATTACAACACTTTTGATATATTAAAGATATAATGTAAAAAAAATTATTTTTAAAGTATAAAATAAAATTTTTAAAATTTTTTAGAATGCAAAGTGTGAAAAGTTCAACAATTTTTGGTACCGTAGCACTATCCTAAGCCACAGGAAACAACCAAACACGCTTTGTAGTGTTAATCCAGTCAGGCAAGCTGGACTTCTATTCGACTGGGGCCAGGCCTAGGATCAAGCTCAGGCCCAAGTGATACCCATCCTTTTAAGTTCTGAAGCGAATGACTTCCGAACTCACCTTCCGATGTCTCTCCCCACTCCCAAAAAAAAAAAAAAAAACTGAACGTTGGCGCACAAAAACGTTCCCCGTCAGTCTCGAGCTTGTGATCTGAGCTTCTCCGGGAACAGTTCGTCGATGAAGTGTCAATCGGTAGCCTGTATTTGGTCAGGCTCTCCACCTGTTCACGTAGTCACCGCCACAGCTGTAATCAATCGACCTCCGACACTCTACACCGGCGGATCCGATGGCTCTATCATCTGGTGGAACCTATCCCTCACTGATTCCAATCAGGTACATACACATTTATGTGTATCGTATGTAGCTGTATTAGTTAAACAATTGTTTTCCAGCATATATTGATTATGTTGTCTCCTGCCAAGTTTAAACACTCGGTGCCTCGTTTAGTGATACTCGATTGGGGTCCTCGAATTGAAACTGAAGAACTAGTTTGTCAAATTTTAAATTTGAAGCTTAATTCTACATTGCCAATGACAAAATCATTGTAAATGAATCCTTGAGGTTAGATCGTTTGCTGATTCAAAATAATTGTAGTCCAGATGTTGTATGAACATAAATGGCAGGCTCTCAACTTGCTTGCATTCATAATATGCAAGTAGATGGAAATTCTTATGACTGAAATTTTCTAAGCCGAGAAGTTTCCTGAGTTATTATATCGTTTATTCTAATATTTTAATTATGTCATTTTGTTTTGGAATTGATGAGCGCTTGGAAGAAAAGATTGCTCTGTGTTTATTTCTTTTTGGTGTAGATTATCCGTTTATTTGCATTCGATTGACATGTCTTGATTGGGCAGGAAATAAAAGCAGTTGCTATGTTGTGTGGTCATGCAGCACCAATAGCTGATCTTGGCATATGTGTTCCTGATGCAACTTTGGGAGATCAAAACTTAGACGATCCAACTAATGAGGCATTGCATTCTAACTCAGCTAAATATGGAGCACTAATAAGTGCGTGTAATGATGGTGTATTGTGTGTTTGGAGCAGAGGCAGTGGGCATTGCAGGCGCAGAAGGAAGATGCCACCTTGGGTGGGGAGTCCTTCCATGGTTCGAACATTGCCTGAAAATCGGAGATATGTCTGTATAGCCTGTTGTTTCGTTGATGCGGTTCATTTATTTAACTATAAGTCACTTGATTCCACTGAAAGGGATGAGGCTTTGGGGGATAGAGAATCACATCACACAAAAGCTTCCCAATGCACGGTCGTAATTGTGGATTCATATACTCTTACCATTGTCCAAACCATTTTTCATGGTAATTTATCTATTGGCCCTTTGAAGTTCATGGCTGTAATTTTTTCCGGTGGGGATATGGAGAAGCAATCAGTGATGATGGTTGATTCGTTTAGTAAAATACAATGTGTTGCGATATTAAAGGAAAATGAAACAAATGGAGAAAATGTGACTGGCTTGCGAAAAATTTCCTCGCATCTAGAGTTGACTGGTTGTGTGGATGGATCAAGTGAAGGGGGACTGATAGTGGCATTTGCAACCTGTGGGCAGGTTTTAGCATTTGTATATAGAACCTACTGCATATTCAGGCTAGTGGATGGTGGTACAACATTGGGAAAGATTTCTTTCATAGATAATCAGCTTTGTGTTGACGGAAGTGCAACTCAATTGTACATTATAGGTGGCATGTTTCTTGAAGGCCGTGATGCTAGGATGACACTGAATACTGGTGAATCCCAAAGCATATTTGTAGAAAATTTTGCTGTGTGGAACAATAGAGGTTCTGCAGTTGTGTATAAATTATCATATTCAAGCAACATGTTCAGGTTTGAGCCTGTATATGCTATCCCTGCTGTTTCTCATCCTTCTCATGTGAGAGTGTCTATTTCTTTTATTCAATTGGATCACTATCTTCTTCGTGCTGAATCTATTTTCTTTCATACCGAAGAACCTTTGCTGGGGAAGGCTCATGTCACAATTTGGTCATTGCGTCATCAACTTCATAACAACAGTAAGTTTTGTCAAGAGTGTGAAATGCTTGGAGAAGGCAGTTTTTTTGATGACTGGATCATGAATGCTACTACTCCTTATAAAATCGAGGGCCTCAAGCATGACATTGGCATAAAACAGAGAGACAAGCTAAATGAATTAGCTTCCCTGCGTAATTGTGCTCCATGTCCAAAGAATTCAGATGGTATAATTTCAGGCGATGAACAATATGATTGTTACCGAGAAGGACAGCTCATATCTTCATCAATGGTTATTTCTGAAAACTACAAATCACCATATGCCATTGTTTATGGATTCTATAGTGGCGAAATAGAAGTTGTGCATTTTGATTTGTTCTATGAGGGACGTGATTTTCGTGATGGAAGTCCACACCATGAAGCAGGGTCACATGCATCTAGACAATGTCTTTTAGGGCACACTGGGGCTGTACTATGTTTGGCTGCTCATCGCATGGTGGGTAACTGCAAAGGGTGGAGTTTTAATCATGTTTTAGTGTCAGGAAGCATGGATTGCACGATCCATATATGGGATCTTGAATCTCTCAGTCTCATTACAGTTCTGCACCATCATGTAGCTCCGGTACGCCAAATAATTTTTCCCCCTTGTCAAACTGATCGTCCATGGAGTGATTGCTTTCTCTCTGTTGGAGATGACTCTTGTGTTGCACTTGCCTCGCTGGAGACTTTGCGGGTGGAGAGAATGTTTCCTGGACATCCATATTACCCAGCAAAAGTTGTATGGGATAGTGTGAAAGGCTATGTAGCATGTCTCTGCCTGAACTATTCTGGAACATCTGATGCGTCTGATGTTTTGTACATCTGGGACACAAAGACGGGTGCTCGTGAGCGGGTTCTTCGTGGAAATGCTTCTCATTCGATGTTTGATCATTTTTGTAGTGGTAGCAACAGAGATCCCCTTTCTGCTAGTGTGACTAATGTGAACACTTCGGTTTCCTCCTTACTTCTTCCAGTAAATGAAGAAGTAAAATTTTCACAATCTCACTCGCAAAATTTAGGGAAGGGAACTACATCAGCAAACATCCCCGCAGTTACTACAAACATGACTGAGTGCAATAGTTCCCAAACACGTGCGAGTAAAGGAAGTGTTTCAGAAACACTTCCAATTACACAGCCAGTCTTTCAAAGCAGCAACCATCCAATCAAAAGCTCTTGCCCATTTCCTGGAATTGCCACTCTGAATTTTGACCTTGCGTCATTGATGTCTCTTTGTCAGAAACATGAAATCCTTAAAGATGGAGGCAATAATCCAGTGAAAAGCCATGTAAATGAAGTACGAGCTGAAATTCTGAAAAATGCTGCTCATAGGAGAGAGAAAACTCATCTAAATGAACAGAGGGTTGAGATGCCAAGTCCCCATCATATTACGATGGATGATGAATTTGATTTACATAACACCTCGGCTGATACTATACATGATTATGACTGGGTTCAATCTCTCGAAGGACGTCTACTTCGGTTTAGCTTGTCCTTTTTGCACTTTTGGAACGTAGATTTGGAGCTTGATAAGTTGCTAATAACTGGCATGAAGCTCAAAAGACCAGAGGATTTCATTGTGGCTTCTGGTTTGCTGGGGGACAGAGGGTCTCTGACATTGGCACTTCCTGGTTCTAGTGCTACTCTTGAGGTACTTCAGTTCAATGTTTTCAATTTGAGGTTCTTTCTACTCTTCTGATTTTCTAAGACAATGAAATCAACATTTCAGCTTTGGAAGTTGTCATCAGAGTACTGTGCAATGAGATCACTGGCAATGGTGTCCCTTGCTCAGCACATGATTAGCTTGTCTCATTCCTGTTCAGAGGCCAGCAGGTATTACAGTTGTGAAACCACATCATATTCTGGGAAGTATGAAATCTTATATGTTTTTATTTATACATTTCCACTCTACTTTCAGAATCCTCGTTAGGATATGAATTCCCATATTGTTATTGATATAGAAATTACAAATAACATTTCTCCATACCATTGGACAGTTGGTTCACTGATATCCAACTGAGAGAATCTAGAATTGTGAATAAATTTTGTTTGGGTAAGATTTTTCATGCCTCCAACAGCTCAAAATGTTTAAGGAAAAGAACAAAAGTATATCCACGTATCAAAAGCATAGTCTCAATTGAAAATTGCCCCCCTCCAATTTTTTTGGTATAACTAATCAGTAGGTAACAATATAGGTAGCTTGACCTTCACAAAAATTATTTACTGATAATATTCTTACATATGACGATAGGAAATAGCAGTTGCAATTCTTGAGCCGTGAATATTTTTCTTATTTCAACAACGATATACTTTGCTTGCATTTTGCACAATAACGATGCATTTTCAGAAGATTTGTTCTTTTGCAATAATTTGTAGTTTTATGTGATTGTGCATTGCAGTAGTTGTTGTTGAGAACATGGGAGTAGTGCCTAACAATCCATTTGGGCAACCTAGCCTTCACTTGGTAAATGTTAATGTGTTTTTGGCCGTTCAGCTTTGTCTATAGTCACAAAATAAGTTCTTGTCTACTATGTCTTTTCTCTACTCCCTAACAGATTTTTCTACTCTTGACGAGATACTTAGAAGAAACCAATGGATTTGTTAGCCTTCTTCTTATCTTTTTGAGAATTGGCATTTCATGTCAAGAAAAAATATGGATGATTGTGAATTATAGATATCAATCATAATGAATTGTTTAAATTGTCTGAAACAATGATTGTCTGCATCTCCTATAAAACAGTTTAAAATCCTCAGTTAGTCGCATTTGATTCTTGACCACACAATCTTTTGAGTTACTACATCTAGAGGCGAGTGTATACGAGTTTCATCTAGAGCGCTCATGATTTGCGTCTAGCATATTTTGATGTCCACAAGTCATTATTTTATGCCTGAATGCTCTAGGTAGTTTAGGTGGGTATAGAACTAGTATACTTCAGCTGTCCTCGAGACCATGGTAATACTTTCTACTTGTGGACCTGTAAGGACATAGACTCATATATTGGATTAATTTCAGGAAATTAAGAAAATTTCTTTTTTAGTAAACTCCTTGAGTAAGTACTATAATTTGCTGGGGAGCGTAGTGAAACCGCATGTTCACTAGGAACTGGAGAATTCTTCTTTATGCTATCTTCTCAAGTTTCCCAATGAAGTAGAATTGAGTCTTTAACTTGACCCATGCTTGACAATTATTCAAGAATTAAATACACTTTTGGTCCATTAAGTATGCGCTCTTTACCGATTTGGTCTCTCACATTTCAATTTTGTTAATTTAGTCCTTGATGATTCCAATTTGTGTTTTAGTTCAATTTTTAACTACCATTTTAATTTGATAACAGAAATACCTACATGCCCATCACGAGAAGGAACTGTGAGGGTAATGGTAGAAAGAAAAAACTCAAATTAAAATCAGGCAAACGAGTTAATATGGGACGGGCCAATCACTTCTCTCCCAAAATAATAACTGCGATACCCATGGAAAAAATCCCAAACTATTCCCTGTTTCTTCTCTCTCTCTCTTCCCCAACCCCTCCTTTCCTGCCTTCACTCTTCAACCATAACCCCCTTAGCCCATTTTTCCCTCTCTCCACCACCCCGACCACCATCACCCACCAGAAACACCTCCCCTTGTAACCCCTCCTTGCCTCCTAGTAGCCATCGCCTCACTGACCCATAACACAATCTCTCTCTTGCATACACACGCATACATACTCACCCTACCATCGAATCCTCAATCCAAAATTGTTGAGTATTTCTCTCTTTTGTGGTATTAATTTATGAAATTGGTGGATGTATTTTTGTGGTATGATGGGTGAGAGTGGCGATGTGGGTGGTTACTTTTGATTTGCAGGAGGGTGGTGACTATGTGTTGCTGGTGGTGACTGGTGAGTAGCAGGAGGGTTGTTGATGGGCATTGATGGGGTCAACAACGCGTTTGATAGAGGAGAGCCTTTCATGTTTCCACTGGAAAAATTTCTGGCTTGTTGGTAGTGATATTATTGGTGGGTGTTGGTGAGTCGCTGGAGGATTGAGTAAGTGGTGGTTGTCACTGGTTGTGGTTGTGGTTGTGGTCGTGGTCGCTTGTTCTGTGACTGCTTTGTGCTTCCGGTGAGGAGGTGGTGGTTGTGGTCTATAGCATGGTGGCGGTGCTGCGATGGTGGTGTTGGAGAGAGAGAGAGAGTGTGTGAGGCAGAAGATGGGAAGAGAGAGATTGGCACGTGAGAAGAAGTTTTTTACCAAAATGTCCCTGCAAATTCATCCTTAATCAGAGTGCCCTCAATCAAATCAGCAGTCTGTTATCTATTTAAAGGGATTTGGTAAAAATTGGACTAATTAAACACAAATGGGAAACACCAAGTACTGAATTGACAAAGAACAATATTTTAGGGACCAAATTGTATTCAGCCCATTATTCAATTTAATTCTATTGCTTCATCTGAATATGTTAAAGCCAATATCAGGATCATATTTTTCAATTGGCTGTGACCTGCGGGGCTTTCTAGGTGGGTCTGATTGTCTAGTAAGTCTTAAGACTTTTGCATATTGTGGACATGATTTCCTTTGTTTCAGTCTTTTAAATGATACTAATCCTCGTATTTTTAAACTTATACGTTCAAACTAAGTGACGTGGTTACTTGATGCCAAACTGTTGTGGCATGTGACATTAACAATCTTTCTAGTAAGATTCATGGGCACTTTTAGGAAGGTAATGTCTTCAGTAAAATACATTACTATTCTTGGACACTTCATGGGACGTGCCCAACATATCTTGGGGAATGTCATAGATCAAAAATAAATTTGTTGACCGAAATTTATTGGACAGTACAAGAATGATCAACGAACTTCAAAACTAAATACGTTAACATACAATTCTTTGACACTCACAAGAATGAATGATCAACAAACTTTATACATTGGCATGTGATTTCTTATGTCATGTACATAGGTGCATATACAGTAGGAAGTGTAGATAAACCTCAACATACAATTTGCCCACATATAACGGATCTGGCATGTCCTTGGTGTGTCTCTGCTTATGTAACATGGGTAGGTATTCATTATTACAGTGCATAAGCTATAAAGTATGTGTTGTATCCATTGCTTATAAGATAGTGAGGTTTATTTTATATCAAATTATGTATTCCCATTGTCAGTGTCCTAACTTTTAAGAGTGACCATACTGTTGTGTCCCTGTCTTCTCATTCCCAGTGTTTATGTTTCATAATTATGGAGTTTCTAGTGGATAAATGCGTCCATTTTACTGAATATGTATTATCTGCAGTGGTTTAGCAGCATTTTATACACGGAACTTTGCAGAAAAAGTTCCAGATATAAAGCCACCTTTGCTTCAGGTAAAATGTTATGCGAAATGGTTCTCTTGTTTGTTTGAATCTTTGGTAATTGCTTGATATTGGACAAAAATATAGTTGCTTACTATTTCTACTGTTAAAATGTCATTAAGCTTGCAGAATTAAATTAAAAGGAAACATCAGATTTGCGTTGTCATATTAAGTCTCAGATATGTTTCATTATTACTTTGTCTTTTCTGTGATGCTTATGCAAAAGATTTGAGTGGGAATTCCTTTGAAAAATAGATAGTCATTACATTTACGTGCTCTTCAATAAAAAATAAAGTAAAGAAGAAAAAGGAAAGAGATCTTCACTGGGCTAATACTTAGTTCTCTAATATTTTTACTAGACAGATTTAGGTAATGTCACCTTTCAGTTTGACGGAAACGTGTTTCTAATTGCATCAGCCATTATTTCTATGTTTGTACTACCACTGGACTCAAATGTTACAACCCTAGTTTCTCAACAATATCTAGTCGGATGTTCTGTGCTCACATTCCCCACACCCCCCCCACACACACAAAAAAAAAAAAAAAGAAATAAAAAATGAAACCCCTCCGTGCCACTGAAAATTAAAAAAAACAATGGAAATAAAGAAATCTTGTGTAACTTGGCCGAAGAAAAAAGGAATCTTATATAGACTCTATTGAAATTTGACTATAATGGTGACAATACTTTGTATGTTTATCAGGTGTCACTATGTTGATGCATGTTTCCCACATATGGGTAGGAAACCTCCAGCAATCTCATCTGAAAATTTTCTCTAAACCGAAAATATTGTGGAATGGGGTGAAGCGTAACTGTTGTATGTATCTTGCTGTTTTGAAGCTTGTAAATGCTTTTTAATTCCTATTTTTACACATTTCTGCCACTTTGGCAACCCCGGCTGAGTCATAGGGTAAGATGCTTCCCCAGAACCATACTATACCGAGGAAGCTAAAACTGAGTAGCATCATTAACCAAAACATAAGGTAGAACCTATGTGCAATGTGCATCCTCATCAAACTTTGAAGGGCTTACGTCATGATTATCCTTTGTTTCATATAAATGCTCGTCGGCTTTCAAGGATGTAGGATTAGGAGTGTTACTTAGGGAGATAAGAGCTAGTAAATCTTGTTTTGTTTTTTCATTGTTTATTTCATCTTTAGGTTCTCAAGTAAATTTATCCAAATTTATGATTGGAAAGAAACTCTTACTTGATTTCATTGAGGTTGGAACATCTAACTATGTGAAAGAATTCATATTTTTCAGCTTTATTTTTTTGTTCCAAACTATTCTTCTGTTTTGCAGCTTTTGGTGAGTTTTTGGCAAGATGAATGTGAACATGTGAGAATGGCTGCTCGCTCTTTATTTCACTGTGCTGCTTCGCGGGATGTTCCACTTCCCTTGTGCAGTCAAAAAGCAAGTGATCATGCAAAATTTCTAGGCTCTCTAAATGAAGTAGCAGAAAGTGAGCCTGAAATTCCAAGCTTGGAGGAGCTGTCCTCAAACAGTTTAAAATCTGACAAGCAGCCAGAAAGACAAGGATGCTGTCAGGCCGAAGAATCTGAAATATCAGCATGGCTAGAATCATTTGAAGTGCAAGACTGGATTTCTTGTGTTGGGGGAACAAATCAAGATGCAATGACCTCTCATATTATTGTTGCTGCTGCCCTGGCCGTTTGGTACCCTAGCCTTGTGAAGCCAATTGTCTCTAGGCTGGTTGTTCATCCGTTAATGAAGTTGGCTATGGCCATGAATGAAAAATATAGTTCAACTGCAGCAGAGCTTCTGGCAGAAGGTTTGGAGAGCACATGGATGGCATGCATTGGTTCGGAAATACCTCGTTTAATTGGAGATATATTTTTTCAGATAGAGAGTTTTAGTGGTGCATCTGCTAACTCATTGGCACAAAGTCCAAATATGTCTATTAGCATGCGGGAAAGTTTGGTTGAGATTCTTCTTCCAAGTTTATCAATGGCTGATATACAGGCATTTTTACATGTGATAGAAAGACAAATCTGGTCTACTGCATCTGATTCACCTGTTCATGTAGTATCCCTCATGACTCTCATCAGGGTTGCACGTGGTTCTCCAAGAAACTTAGCTCAATACCTTGATAAGGTTTGTAGAGCCTACTCTTTAATCAGGCAAGATAATCTCCGTCTTTTTTAGAAAAAATAAGTTTAGTTAAACTTGCGTTTGAAAATTCCTTGGTGGGAGCTTAAGTGAACATATGATTACACATTCATCCATCTCTTGATTTTAGAATGATGCTTATGTCTAGTTTGCATGGGAATTGGCTCATATTTGTGCAGTCTATACATATTCTGCTTCATCATATTTGATTTCGTGTATCTTTATAGATGCTATTCTGACTTCCTGCTCTTGAAGATAACTACTCTTAGGTTAATGTGATTGTGTCACTCTAGATGTAGTTTCAATTAATTTTGTGAAATTATTCTTTTCATTCTGGGGGAATATACAATAAAACTTTTGGCTTCCTTATTATGTCTGCTCCCAAATGATCTAATAAGCTTGCTTCCCTCACCAAACAAATCTTCTTTCCTTTAAGATTGGATTTTAATTTCACAACTTGAACTTAGTTAGGTCAGAAGGGGGAAACACAATGGTCTACTTTATTTTTTCTCATTTTAACTCAACTTCAATACAAAAAGAAGTTTTCATCTGCCATCAGAACTCAGAGTTGACTTGAATGTTGCATTTTTTATTTTAAATTAAACGTCTGCTCTTTGACCATGATTATTCACTGTAGCAGATATACTATCAACTTAGATACTTTGATTTTTTGACAGTCTAGTTTACAATCATGGATGTTCCATTTTGGGAGAAAGACATCATTAGAAGTAATGTGCATTGTCCCACCCATTCTACTGCAGGGACAAATTCTGTCATCCTTTTTCCAGTCATTTGGGTTGCTATATCTGTGAAACTGTAATTTTTTGTTAATTCTTGCTATTTATTCCTTTTCATTCCTTTATTAATTATGTTAGCTGGTCACCCCGACTTTGTTTTATGGTGGCATATTCTAGATTTTTTGGTGGTCTATTTTTCTAGGTGTGTCTTGTTCATAAGAGACATGGATTTTTCATACTCCTAACATTTATAAGGGAATGCAGGTGGTCAGTTTCATTTTACAGACAATGGACCCTGGTAACTCGGTCATGCGCAAAACTTGCTTTCAGAGTTCAACGGCAGCACTGAAGGAAGTTGTACGTGTATTTCCTATGGTAGCCCTGAATGACACATCAACCCGATTGGCTGTTGGGGATGCAATCGGAGAGATTGACAATGCTAGCATTCTAGTATATGATATGCACAGGTAATTTTAAAAAATACGTAACAGCACTTTGAGAAAAAATTTATTGGGGGCATTTTGCCATACATTTATTGTGGAGCTATGGAAGGTCACGAACACGGTATGTCTTATGTTTTTTCCACTTTTTAAATGCAGCATGTCAAAAATAAAGGTATTGGATGCAAGTGGACCTCCAGGACTTCCAACTTTGCTTGGAGGAAATTCAGAAACCATGTTAAGTACTGCGATTTCAGCTCTATGCTTTTCACCAGATGGAGAGGTATATATGCTAAATCTAAAGATCCCATAAACTTATTTTTATGCTCCTCCTGGTTTTTGACAATGACCCACTGTGTTTTAGTTCACATTTTTGGAGTCCTTTGCACTTGGCAGATTATTGAAGTAGTATTCATCTAGAGATGGCATAGTCAGACCCAAATCAGCGGTCCTATCCAACTCAATGTGTTTGAATCTGACCTGATCTAACTTCATCTAAGCTAATTATTATCTTGCGATTAAAAATCAAAGGAAGAACTCTTTTGGGAGTTTCAACTTTTTAACGAACACCATTTGATGCAGTGATATCATATGATGCTTATGTTTGAATGCCCCTCTTCTCTCCCCACCCCCCAAAAAAAAAAAGACAAAAGAATAATTCAAGGTGACTCAAACATTGTGAAAGAGTAAAATAGCGATATTTAATGACATAAAACTTTTGACTTTTCGAACAGGACTTACTCTGGGACATCCCCACTACGGAATAAGGGATTTTTTTTTAATTGTGATGGCAGGAGTCCATTAATACTTGGCGTAAATTAATGTTGTTAAGAATCTCAGATGTTATTTCATTCTATTTTAAGCAGGTATGAGTTTCAGTTTGGGGTCCTTAGTTTTGGATTTGCAGGAATGGGATCCAGCCTTCAACTCCCCACAAATATCAGTCCTGATTCACTGCTCAATCGAGCAGTGTTTTACACTCATTAGATCAGGGTAGAATCTTGCATGCATGTTATAGGGATGGATTGTAGACATTGGTGTTTACATGAATTTTTCTGGAATATAGTGCGAGGTGATCCTTCATTATTTGATATTGTATTATAAGCTAAAGTGTGAACATGTAGTCTGAAGGAGTCTTCTAGGGTCCAAGTGGGATCATTTAGGTATGCATCACTTTTTGTCCAATTGTTTTTTTATACTTTTCCACTAGTCAATTTTTTCTTCTATATGCATAAAGTGCTTTTTTATGTCTTACAAAATTTAAAATTCTTAACTTGGTGATTTTACCTCGATATACTTGTTGCAGTTTATAGCTAAATTTTAGTTATTCCAGTTTTTGCGATGAAATGAGTGCCGACTGCTTTCTACATTCTTGTTGATAAAGCATTTTGTATCAATCTATAGTACTTTCCGTAAGCCCCAGATTGTTGCTATTGCTCTACTATATGAGGAACTTGGTTTTCTCCTCTGTTGTTTGTTTCTGTGGGTATAGTTTATGTAGGCCCATTATGATGAACCTTTGGGCTTACAAGATCACCACATGGTGGCCTCTGTTAGTATAGTAATATCATCAAAGTCGATAGTTAGTTAACACTGTTGTACTAGTACATTGAATGGGTCGAAGTCTTGTAAATATTATACATTTCTCGGATGAGGTTTTAACTTGATTTAGTTTGTCTTTGTGGAGTTCTTGTTGATGTCTTTTAATTGTAGGGGCTAGTTGCTTTTTCTGAGCATGGGTTGATGATCAGATGGTGGTCATTGGGATCAGTATGGTGGGAGAAACTCAGCCGGAATCTTGTTCCTGTCCAATGCACCAAACTGATTTTCGTCCCTCCATGGGAAGGATTCTCACCTAATTCTACTAGGTCCAGCATAATGGCAAGTGTAATGGGTGATGATAAACAGTCCAGTTCGCAGGTAATTTTACCTGAATGTGCCTTTATTGTCCTAAATGTGGATTATATACGCATCATTGTTGGCACATTTGAGTGTTGTCTTACCTGTATATAATTGGACATGATTCTCCACCTGTGAGTCTAGGTTGTACTAGAAAATCGTTGGAAATCTGTTTCCTTTATTCTATTGGCACCAATAACATCATAAGCTGTGGTCACAGCTTTTCCTTTTTTTTTTTTTGGGTTTGGTCTGCATGCTATGCCTTTTGCTTGTGTTTGCATTTTCAGTTTCTTAGAATGTATATGTATTTCTCCGTCGGTTATGGGTTTATGCTGAATCCCATAATCATCGTCCTTCAATGACACAAGCACCTCTCAAAATGCATCCATCTGATTCTGGTTGACAGTTTAATTCCATTCCAGTCATATGCATTACAGCCTTTTATCACTTCTGTTGCAGGAGAACACTGGTGGTCTGAGCGACACCGACAGACTGAAACTCTTGATTCACAATCTTGATCTTTCTTATCGGCTGGAATGGGTTGGTGAAAGAAAAGTTCAACTTACGAGGCATGGCCATGAATTGGGCACTTTCCTGTTATAAGCTTATTGCTATGGACTCTGATTCAGGTGAACTCCCTGAAGGTTCCTTCTCAAATAGAGAGATGCAAATTTTCTGGATATATGTTCTTACTTCTTCACAAGTCTAGGGACCTCAGCTTCTCATACTGTCAAACTTGTGGGCGGCAGTCCTTGTTTTCACCAAAGAATATATATGGCCTAAATGTCGCGGGACAGCTCAAAATTCATGTCAACCATTTGTTTTCAGAATCATCTTCATTTTTTGGTGTTTTTTGGAGGAGGGGCGGCGGTGGTGGATTTAGAATGGGTTTACCACAATAGTGTCGACATGCACGGCATAAAACAATAAATAATGTACATACCGTATATCAACAGTTTTGCTATAAATAGGCAGCTTAATTCATTAGTTACTGTATCGGCTAATCCGAAGGCTTACACTTGTTTTTTTTTTTTTGTTTGTTGTTACGGAGAATGAGAGAGACAATTAGATGGTACCCGGTACTGGTAATAAAAACTGTATGGTTAAATAAACAGCAATACATTTCTTTTGGAGCTTTCAGTACTGCTTTGCATTCTGTACAGCATTTTGGGGGTAAGTGATAAGAGCTTGATTGATGAGTATGAACATTTCAGCTTTCAAACATGAGTGACTGGTTTTAGAATCTAGAGAGGAACTGAAGTTGCTTGAGCAGAGGGCTTAAGGTCTCCATGAGTTTCTCACAGGGATGATTGTGAATGCCCTCGTATGTTGTCACCACAATGCTTGTGTCTCTTGACAGCCGTTGGATCTGTTTCTTCACATTGCATGTATGATGCGTGCAGCGATAATAGCTCCTTGGTTTGTGTTGACATGGAAAATTAAGATCGTAAATATATCATTTATGAATTTTTTTCGAGTAACAGAATTTATTTAGAATATAGGGATTATGCACCAAAAATTTTATGATTCTAAGCATGCTGGGCTTTTATTAAATTTATTTCTAACTAGCACTCTATGCTCAGATTTTACTATGGCAAAGAGTCTCCATGCACATGGTTACCCCTGTTAGCACAACTATGCTATTTGTTGAAGAAGATTAATCCAGGTGAATTGAAGTCAAAGACACCCATTGTAGAATTACAAAGCTAATGTTGTCAACGTGCAGTGTTGTTCAGTAGAAATTCTATTTGCGTTCATGGGGACCAATTGTTTTAACTAACTGATCACAAATAGGTAGTGCGCACTGCACCACCTGCCCGATGCTGGAAAGTCAAAAGGAGAAGTGTTATAAGCTTTGAATGGAAACCCTGGTAAATGACGGCAGTAACTCTTAACTGTCCTAAGGTAACGGAAATTCTGTTTTAAATATGTATCATAATACTCGTGTAGTTACATCATATGTACAGACACCATTTCTAGATCTATTGTTTTTTGGCCTAGTGAATATGATCTACACACTATTCTCAACAGGTAGCCACACCACAATCATTTTTACAAACCGTTTCTAAACTTGTATTTCCTATCGAAGTTATACATATCTACAACCCATTGAAAAGAAATCATACACACTCAAACACAACTTAAATAGTTTGAACATATTTGATAAAAACAAATTTGGTACTGTACCAATAAAGGAATTCGATTTTATACATATTGCTCATAATACGAGTGAAATTGTAAATTGAAATAGTAAACAAGGAATTTGATAGCTTACGCTTTAATGAAAAATATAATCATTGATAGAATACGATGGAGAAAAGAGAATTTGTTTAGTTGTTCTCAAGTACTTGAAATAAATATTTTGTTAAGTATATTATTTGATTGAGAAATGCTATGCGGATTTAAAAAATAAACTTAAAATATGTACTTGATAATCATAATCATTGATTTTATTGTGGATCTCAATATTTATTGTGACTCACTACTTATTCAATAATTATGATTGTCCAGTATGCTATTTTAACTCTAAATAGCCGTGAGAGAGTGAATTGTCTGACTTAATCTCCTGACCCAATTTCTTCACAAATCCAGACATCTAATTCATTGACTCACTCAAAAAACATCAAGATGGACGGTCAATACACTTCAAAAAACATTTCCACAATCCATTAGCAAAGAACCACTGTTAAATTTCCATGCATTTCCAATCCATAAGTGAACAGTTTGTGCCTTGATTCCTTTGGGAATATCAGAATCATCTTTCTCCTACGAGGGTATAGAGTGTTGGAATTTGATCCAAACTCTTTAATTGTTATGAAACATAGTTTTGTTGGGTAGTCAATGTAAAAATCTTAAATGGAATAGGATTATATTAAAAGAGTTTTAATACACTATGAATAAGTATATTAAACATGTGATAGAAAATATAAAGATCAAGTTGTATTTGAATATGCTTGAGTTATAATATTTTATCCCTATAAATAGGGTTGAGTATTATGTAATTATTACCAGATAACCAGGTTTTCAGTGAATAATACATCGATATAGGTTCTTGATTAGTGGATATAGGTGCGGTATAGCAAAGTTAAGTATGTTGTGTTGAACTACGTTATATTTTTGTGCCGTATTTTATTATTTTTTTATCTTTGAATTCCTATCTTTCAACAAGTATTATTTATTTTAATTAGCCGATGTACAAAACTAACAAGCGGTATCAGAGTTATATTTCAACAAGTGGTATCAGAGCTAGATTAACGATCCTGATAAATCAATCAGAGTCAGTTTGATGATTTTGGTGAAACAATAAGAGATAGATTGACGATCCTGGTTCAAAGCAAGTTATTAGTGATTCAATGATTAAGTTGGTGTTCATGTTAAAAAAAACTCTTTTGCCATATATGTACAATTCATATTTTTGTTTTAATTTACAAAGAAAAAAATTAAAATTGGTATGAACCCAAACAAAGACTAATTTGCTTCCTGATTGTTTGGATTTCAAGAATTATCACACGTATTGTGTTGAAGATGATTCTCTAGGTTTTTAGGTTCTTAGAGTTGAAGTCACAATATTCTAATGATTTGGAAGATATTGGGCGAACATAAACCCAATAGTGATAATATTGTATCTCGTGGGTTATAAGTTACTACTAGGCTTTACATTTGAATGGTGAAGTGTTGACTATTGAAACCTCTCAAGAGCAAGTAAGACACAGACAGAGATGCACAAATGATACAGGTCAAGAAGCTGGCTCTCAAAAGACAAAGAGGATTGTGACTATTCAAAAAAACAGGTTTGCACGTAATGCTTGAAAAATTAGTGGATCAAAATCAAGTGTGCTAAGCCCGATCTTGAGCTTGACCAAATTTGAAGAGTTTGGTTCAAGGGAAATTATTGGAATTTGATCCAAACTCGAGTTTTGTTGAGTAATTAATGTGAAAATCCTATATAAAATAAGATTATATTGGAAGGATTTTACTACACTATGCATAGCTATATTAGACATGTATTAAGAAACATAAAAATCAAGTTGTATCTTTGAATATTATGTAATCAGTTACCAGAAGACTAGATTTCAATGAATAATATATCAATGTAGATTCTTAATCCGTGGATGTAAATAATGTGTATCAAGGTGAGTACAATTTATCGAATCACGTTATATCTTTGTGATATTTTTTTATGAGCAATGCTATAGGGACCTTATTTGAGAAACTTATTTAGGGATTTAATAATGTGGCTTCAATATAACTATTAGATTAATTGTGAGTTTCAATTATCTCTATAAATAGGGTTGAATATTATATAATCAGTTAACAGAAGACAAGATTTAAATGAATAATATATCGATGTAGATTCTTAATCCGTGGATGTAAATAATGTGTACCAAGGTGGGTACAATTTATCGAACCACGTTATATCTTTATAATATTTTTTTATGAGCAATGTTATTTGAGAATCTTATTTATGGATTTAATGACGTGGCTTCAATATAACCACTGAATTAGTTGTGAGTTTCAATGTTAGATGAAACTCACAATCAATCCAATGATTATATATCATTAAGTCTTTAAATAAGGTTCTCAAATAAGATCAAAATAGTATTTTTCTTTTTTTATTATGTTCAATTCTTATTTTCTAGTAAGTATTATTTGTGTTAATTATTCGCCCACGTGAAGCCAATGTATATACATAATAGAACATCGATCAAGTTTACCATGAGAGAACTAAAAGTACAAACATGCCACATTGAGAGACAGAGAAGCAAAATAGTGGTATGTATACCTGGGGTGGATGCTATTCTTCACAGCTTTCTGCCCATATTTTCGCCACTTGTATCCATCATCAAGAATATCCTCAGAACTCCGAGTTTGAAAAGCAATCCTTGGTGGAACTGATCTCTTTCTTCTAGATCTTCTTATGCTTTTAGCGCTGCCATTCTCTCCTTCATTGTTAACCCTAGATGTTAGTGATACACTTGGTGATAGAGGCTTTGGGTCTCCTCCATTTCCAATGGAACCAGAGAGGAGGCTGACCCAATCAATGTCTGAATCAATCTCAGAGCTCTGCATTGGCTGGTCATGAAGTAGTGAAGGAGGGTGGTGCAATGAGGTTGATGGAAGGGAAGGTGTGAACAAGTATGGACTGTTGTTTTCTATTGGAGGCGGTGGTGGTGGCGGTTCTCCTTCCATGAGTCTCGATCGGAAACCTCAGCTGGGAATCGGGATTCGATAGAATGTTGTGACTATTTATGTTTGAAGGTGAGAGGTGGAGGTAGGTAAGAAGAGGTTGGACAGTCTCATGCAGAGAGAGAGAGAGAGAGAGGGGAAGAATAAGAAGAAAGGTTGCTTCCTTCTAAACTTAGGGAGACCCTGGCTTGTAACCCTTGATAAACCCAACTACACTTTACCTACTTCTGTTCAACTGCCCGATTAGAAGACCTAGACGTGCCCAAAAATGTATCGTTATCACCAAAGCCTGCAAAACTTAAACCTCTCTCTCTCTCTCTGAGATTTAAGGTAGTAATAAGCCGAGGCCTAAACCTTTTAACCAGATAATTGGCTCAAATCAAGAAAAAGTACAGGGTTTAGATATTGTATTGTTAAACAACTACCCCAGCATCTTAACGTACAGATCAATTAACTGCTGTTATGGTGGTTTACCAAAAGGGTAAATACCATATGTATCTGTATAAAGGTGCAGTAAAATCTTCTGATTAGCTAGCCATCATATATAGCAGATTATTATTTTTCACTAACTCCATATAAAAACACAAGTTTTTATATATGCATGTAGAGTTACGTAAATAGAGACACAAAAAATACATGTTTGTGCATGAAAGTGATTTGAAGTGTATTGTGTTTGATCTTGTTGATGCAGTTTATATGGGTTGATCTGATATATGTAAACACGAAAAAATATGTATTATTATTTGGATTTTGATTACAAGATGTTCAACCTTATTTATAATTGAAGTTTTCGCTAAAAATGGCCTTTTGTTGTTGAGCTTGAGAATTATGATCAAACTAAGTTCCCCAATAGCAAATAATCATATGATATATAGACAATCGATCCCTGATAAGGCCATGGGGTAAAGTACAAAGAGCTTGACAAACACTGTTTTAAGTTGTATCTACCAGATAAAATGCTAGATTTATTTTCACTTGTTTGCTTTAACTTCCACGTTTTCCAAATCTAAATAAACAGTTCACTTGAATTAGATGAAAGCCTATGGTTGGTCATCATCTTTGACTAGACATGCTCACATTTCTCCGACTATTAGCACGTGCACTACTAATCTTGGGGAACTCTGTTGTACCATATAAAGTAATAATGATGAAATTACAACTTTAAAACGGAAAGTTATAATTGTTTAAAAAAGTTAATGATCAATATTAGACACTTAGGATCGATCATAAAAAATATCATATTGATCTCAACATTCCGTGATTGATTAAACCCTTTGAAATTGTGACTTATACTTCAAAAAAATTATAATTTTTAATACAAATATCGTGGAAGATACCATAGAAGTTCCCCATTAATATTCCTGCAACTTCTGCACAAGTTTTAAGATTTTGTGTTTTCCCATAAAAAATATAAGTTTTTGGCCTCCGCCACATGTATAAAAGACTCTCACATAACTTTTTAGATTCACGGTGTCGTTAGACTGGTGAAATTTTGGGATTAAATTCAGAGTTCAAATGATATGGCAGTTGACTTGGACTTTTTTTATTGGTGTGATATCATTTGGACCTCAATAAAAATTTCAAATAATCAACTGCTATGTCATTTGACTCTAAATTTAATTTCAAAATTTGATCTGTCTAGCATTACTCTTAGACTAAATCTCTACCCAAGTCTATATCAATTGTTAATTGCTCCCACTATATCCTTGCTCCATGAAAGTTAATCGCAATATAAACCAACATGAAAGATGGGTATCAAATGCCAAATTGGTGTATATAGGAGGAAAAACCATACAAACCAAAGACGAATTTAATAACAAACAATATGAGCCTTGCTTCTTCCATACTCATCTTAGAGATAATTAGCTGAAAACTTTTGACTAGAGAAATAAAATTAAAACCCAAGTCCCAAGTTCACACCAAAACATCTATGTTGTTGTTTATTAATGATCTACATCATCTATATATATATATATATATATATATATATATATATATAGAGAGAGAGAGAGAGAGAGAGAGAGAGAGAGTTAAACTGAAAAAACTATAACTAGTACTAATTTCATGCCTGCCCAAAAAAACTCTAATACCAATCTACTCTTGGGGAGTTAGATATCAAAACACATCTCAATGACCTAAAGAAAAGCACAAAATTGGAGAAAAAAACTACCAAAAGAAAAACAAAAAATAAAAAAAAACTAAATAATTTTATTTGAATCTAATTTACATGATTTATGGACCTAATTTATCACGACCATTAAATTGGTTGTGGATCCCAACAAATATTAGGACCCTTTATCAATCTAATGACTATGAATAATTATGTCAACAAATTAGATTAGTAAATTATATTCAAATAACATTACTCTTATTAATATACAAAAACCAAAAGTTTTCAATTTGCATTGGAAGAAATAAGCTTAAACCATTGGCTCTGGGGATTGTCATGGCACTGATCAGAATCATCTTGAGAACAAAGGCACTTCTTTGTCAAAATCCTTGAAGAATAGTTTGGATCCCAATCTAAACACAAGTCTGTCCCATGTTCATCTCTGTTAGCAATCTGATACTTGGTGTCAGAAAATAATTTCCACGTACTTTGCTCGCTCATGCAATCAGCCGTCAGGCTCACCGGTAAGCCGTCTCCGACTGCTGTCAGACACAATGGAGTACCCATCAGACGGATCGGAGTTCCGTCTCCGGCGTGGCTCCATCGACTCAAGCTCCAGCAATCAGTTGGATGAAGTTCGTTATTGACCCCCCTCATACAACGACCACTCGTTGGATGATACATTATGTAGTATGGTGAAACATTCGATTTGGGATCTGCATAAGAAAAAAAGTTTAGTTGTCTTACTATTGAATTAGTGCTTGAATAAGTTAGTGTAAGAAAATGTTACATAACACTATTTTTTTTTTTTTTGAGAGGAAACGATAAAAAGTTTTATAAATCAGAAATATCCGAAAGGAGCACAACCATAATAAGGTCGGGTGAAATTTAATATTAGTAAATGGGTGAAATTTACAGGAAAAAACATTATGGGAGATAATTTTTGAATAATAGGGGTGACAGTAAATTGTGTTGTCGTGTGTTATGGTCATGTTATTTTAGATTAATATTTTGTATTAAGGGCTCTCATTACAAGATTTGATTTGCAAGAGAGTGTCCGCTATCTCATTAATTATATAAGAGTAAACAAAAAGTTCAAAACTATCACTTTTCTCTTTCAACCAAATCCACAAGTCTTCCATATACTAAAAAGTCACTTAGATCTCTATACTCATAAAATTAAGCAAAAAATAAAAATCGTGTGACAAAAAAAAAATTCAAATTTTTATACTGATTAACTTATCATGTCAAAATCACATAACCCATTTATTCGTATTTGTAGATCGTGTCAAGAACTAGACAGTTTTTATTCTTTAATTTTATGTGGAGTTAATGTGTAGCCATATAAGACAGAATCATGTAAAGCAAACCTTGAATCTTCTGTTGTATAAGCTGTAACTTCTCATGAAACTCTGGACTTCTTAGACTGTTCCAGCTAGAATTGAACATCCCATATGTCTCATCAGGATCTTGAAGTCCATCCCTTAGGTAATAGCTTCCTTGCAATGCCCACAGAGCCCAATCCAAATCCTTCTCCGCCAAATAGCCCAGAAAACAACCCAAGAACAGGTTGTCTGCCTCATTCACTCCCATCTGGTTGATACCAAATTCAGTCACAAACAATGGTGCCGGATTCCTACCGCCGGTTAAAAATCCGACCTTTTCTTCGATTTCTCCTGTGATATTGGCACAGACATTATTCAATGGCTGATGCAGCCACATATCTGTCTGTCCCTCGGTGAATGCGTACCGATGTGTCTCGAACACCAACTTATGATGAAATTTCAATCCCAGTGGTCTTTCCTTCAACATTCTAAAATCAAGATCGTAGTCTAATCCTGATATGAGTATTAATAAATTTGGGTTTGTCCTGTGAATAGTATTTGCACCCATTCGGACATATCGATACCAAACTGTCTTGTTTTGACGCGGGCCTCGTAGCTCGTTTCGTAAGCTCATTCCAACTACCTGCATTGATAAAATTATAAACCCGTAGTAAGATGTCACGTCGGAATCTCATATAAGAACATTACAACAGAATATATAAAATCAAGTTGCATAAAGTGCTACCATAGGAGTGTCCTTGAACCGCTTAGCTACTATGGCTAAGCTTCGTAGCCATTCTCTGGGATTAAAATGCTCATCGCCAAAGAACCCATTCCCATCAGTATCACCACAACACCACATCGGCTGGCTAACTTGGTTATCAAGAACAACCATAACTCCATGTGAACCAAGCTCCTCAACGACAGCCTTTTGGGCGTCAACCACCGTGAGGCCTAAAATATCCGGGTTGTTCTTGGCTATGCCCACCTTCGCCTCCACCAAACCAAGGTCCTGAAAGGATTGTGCCACGGTAAGATTAGCATGACGCGTGAACATGTATGTAGCCCACGTCAGACGTATGCAGTTGAACCCCATCAAGGCCACATACCTTGCAATTTGGTTCAATGGCTTCTTGTCGAGTCCCTCGGGTAACATGGGTTCCAAGTGAGCAGCCCAATTCGCACAGGCGAGCTTCACTCGATCCTCTGTTGGTTCATCCACAATCCATCTTGATTGTGTTGAGAGAGGCAGTGAAAGAGATGGAGTTACAAATGCGAAAAGCAAGACTATGAGAATGGTTTTCATGGCTTTTCCCTAGAATTTTTCTAGCCAAAAGGAGATAGGTCTTAATTTACTGATGGATCATGGCCATATATATAGCACTACAGCTCCTAAAATAATGAGGATATTATCCTATCTTTTGAGAGTTCTTTTTTTGAATTCGAATGAAGTAGTTCTTGTAGCTCCACTCAGCTGGGTTTGTGCAACTTCTTGTAGATTCAAAGACATTGATCAGTGGATGATTTCTAGAAGCCCATTGCTGGTTGACTTAGTAAAAGAGATCGATGCTTGGTGAATTTGGTTTGTTGTACTACATTACCCATTCCATGTTATCATATTTCTGAACAAGTACTCTCACAAAGTTGTTATGATAGATAAAATTTGGTAAATGATTTGATATAAGTAGTGGCAGTGGTGTCCAAAGAGCCCTTAGTATTTCATCAAAACCCCACAACCTAATAATCTCTTTCAAAATTGCTCCCCAGTCTTTCTTGGCTATATCTGCCTTCGACTCTTTCAGGTCAGTAAGCTTAGCATAGTGTGTGAATATGTTTGTAACTCAGGTGAGACGTAAGTAGTTGAACCCCATTAACACCACATGCCTTGCAGTGTGACTCAACAACTTCTTGTCGAGCCCCTTGGCTAACATGGGTTCTAGATGAGCAACCCGGTTCTCACAGGTTAACTTCACTCCATCCCCTGTTGGCTCTTCTACAATCCATCTTGATCTTGGCAAGAGAGGCAGAGAACAAGAGAAAGTTTCAAAGGAGAAAAGCTAAGTTATGAGAATGAGTTTCAAAAAAAAAAAACAAGAGACTGAGTTTCATGGTTTTCCCTACCATTTTTCTAGGCAAAGGACACCAAGTTGATGTAGTATTTATTCATAGACCAGTCGTACATCACACTTTTTCTGCTTAATAGGAAACAAAACTGTAACTAATAATCAAAAAAAGGTACAAAGTTGGTGATATCGAAAGCATGATGGTTGTTCAACAACACTCCACCCTCCACACTCCACTATGAAGAGGAGAAACTGTTCTTTTTCTTTAAAAAAAAATCAGCCATAATCCTATTTTTAGGAGTTCCATCCAATGAACAAAACCATTAACCTAAAAGATTATATCCCAACAACTCAACTCAACGAAGCCTTACACCAAGTGGCTGATCTTGTTAACAGGCTCACCGACAATTGAACAGAAGTGCTCATTTAGATTTCCGTTGATCAGAAACCCTTGCTCCTGCAATCTTGCAAACAGGTTCTTCACTGGGCATAACAAGCTTTAAAGCGGGATGAACCTTGAGGTCACCCATTACCAACTTTTGGCCCACATCCAATTCGCTTAGGTCCACATCAATATAGGGAGGGACTACATCGGCCGGGCAGAGATACTTAACAGTCCTCTTAATAATGTTCAAATAGGCTCCTGCCAAAATGGGAAAATAATGTGATACTCCAGGTCAGATGATAGAAATGATGTAACGAGCATAGAGAACATCACATAATAAGAAGCATCCCAGCTGATAATGAACCTCTGCAGAGCACAAAGAATACATAAACAAATAAAATCACTTCAGGTGCCTCCTAAAATTGGAGTTCGTATTAGTGAAGCTGATCGTTTGAAGTAACAATTTTGCAATCAAGATTTGCACAAAAATATCTTCAGTGCAACCACTCTATGAAATCAGCGCCTAAAATTCGCTTAATAGGCTAAATTCGTTTCCAAAAATTGGAATGTCTACTGAAAAAAATGTTACAGATAAAAAAGAATATTTCAAGAGCCTTTACATGAAAGGACCTTTACATAACTGAAAAGACAATATTTCCGCATCTCGGCAGGATTATTGATAGAACTCCAGGTACCAAAGGTGACCTAACTGCACATGATTGTAAAGAACACAACTCCAAAACTATTTAACGACTTATCCTCGTAATATGACTCGCACAAGCTTCATAATTTGCATGAATAAGAGCACTTTGCAACTTTAGTATGAAGTGGTCATGGGAAGAGAAATTGCATTTTTAGCATACCTTTTTTCAACCCAGGAGATACGTCTTCTCCTCTGAATACAAGAGGAATTTCAACCTTCAACAAAGCACTCGATGGAGCTCTCATAAATGTAACATTAAGTACTCTATCTGTACCGGCATGCAGATGAAGCTACACAATTAGAGAGAAATAATGTCAGAATATGTCCCACCCTTGGTAATGTTCAGCTGACTAACTATTCAAAATGTATAAAATGACATTGCATCAACATAAGCTCTTAAGTTCTCACCAGCAGGTATTTTCCTCATATCCAATTAAACTAGTCACCTAGTCACATGCTTTTACTCCTTTTATTCTGGCAACCATTGCATAATTCAAGAAATAACACTAAACAATAAATTTTGAACCTTAAATTCCACAATGCCAAATCTATGCAGAAGAGTGTAATGTCATGCAGGAGAGACCACAATTTCATAGGAGAGTCATTATGAAACTCTAGAAGTTATATAACACACTCAGAGGAAACACTCAAGATAATACATGAATATGATCAAATAAGATTAGAAATAATTATGACTATAGCATAGAAATGGAGATCACAGAAAATTTGCAAGGCATTAAGTTTTCTATGAATTAGAATCCTGATTGATACAAGTCACATGTATGAATTAGAATCCTGACCCAATGGTATTTCTTACTTTATGAAGACTTTGTTTTCTTGAGGTCAAGAGTTCAAGTTCCCCCTCCTAAAACCAAAAAAAAACAAAAAAAAATTTTAAAACAAAAAATAAAAAAAAATATATATATTTTGAAGACCTATCAACATTCCAAAAGTCTCTGCATTGATGGACACGTTCATAACATAACATGACATCATACTCTGCAACCAATTTGTGTAGCTCAAAAACTTGAGTACCTGCTACATCCCCTCCCACCTTACACTGAAAACATCAAACCCCAGTTGCCCTTTTTACAGCTTAATTCTACCATGAACCAAACATAGAATGTGGCTCAATATCTAAAATACTGATTTCTAGCGTAACCATTCCTGTAATAAACCAGAATCCCCAATACTTCAAAGTGCATACAAATTAATTCACCCTAATACATAGCAAACCAATCATATGCCCACTCATGATTCTCAAATGTCCATCGCAAGTCCAATTCTAATTTCATTGAAGTAAAAATTGCACTTTAAAAGTTGTAAAAAATTAACAACCCATTTCAAAGTTCTCTTCTTTTTTTTTGTATCCATGACCACATAATTTATAAACAGAAAAACCTATAGGTGTTCACATCAAAATCATAACTAGATATGAGCAGATATCAGTCCCATTCCAAAGAAATAAGAAAAGTAAAGCAATTGTAAGAAATACCAAATACCCAACTCCAATGGATAAACAAATCTCTCTTAAGCATTTGAAATCAACATTTTCTGATTCAAATGACAAGCTCGTAGCAATAGAAAACTAATGACCAGAAATTCAAGACCATACCATCCTAGGCAATACTCGAACCTTCTCTATTAGCTCATCGGACTCAAAATCCGGCCGAACCTCAAGATAAAAAAGCCTAGACAAGAAAAACGACCGACCCAAATGGTTAACAAGCTTCTTGATCTGATTGGTATGTACGGAAATAAGCCTTTTGTTCCCACCATGCTGGCCGTCCTCTTGCTCGAAGACGATGCTTGGAACTCGACCTTTCTTTCTTTCTTTGGCGGAAATGTTTGAACCGGAGGCGGCGCGTGGGATTGCACGGATGGTCTCGTCGTATTTGGGGTCTGGCTTCGGAAACCCTTCGAGGTATGTGAGTGGGATTTCTTGCTGGAAGGCTTGGAGAAGAGTTGCTACGGCTGATTGGGTGAAGTATCGGAGATGGAGGGCTTTGGCGACGACTGAGCGTTGGATCAGCATCTGGCGTGGGGGAGTGTGTGTGTGTGTGTGTGTGAGAGAGAGAGAGAGAGAGACTGGCTGGACTATGGAGTACGGAGAGGGCTGAAGAAGGGTTTAGAGAAATGCAGCACGACAATGGATTCGGCTTGAAATGCAATGCCTTCGCACCGCTTATTGAATCACAAATTTAGGCCCTTAATCGACTCAAGCTATCCAACTTTGATTTTGGGCTCGGTTCGAATAAAATTCGGTTAAAATCCGATTCGTATTTAAAACGGATCGCGTTTGAATAATTTTTTAAATTTGGTAAAAAAATAATTTAATTTAATTTTATAAAATTCAACTCGTTTATATATAAAATATTTGAGTTATTAATACTCATTCGAATTCGACTCAATTTAGACTTTATTTATTTTTTAAATAAATTAAATTTGAATAATATTTTAAATCTAAAGATAATGAGATGTGAGTATCTTTTTTAAAACTTATTTGACTTTAAGTATCACCTTCAAACTTATACTCCTTTAAATCCTCTTTTTCATTAAATAGTTGTTAATAAGTACACATTTTAAAATATTTTTAAATTCTTTCTAAAATGTATTCAATAATTACCCCTATCATAAATAATGCATACCTACTTGAATGTAAAACTTTTAAGATTAGAATGTGAGAATTTCAAGATTTCTTTTGATATATGTGTATCATTTGAATTTTGAAATTGTATATATATACACACACACATACATACACGTATATATTTACACACACACACACGCAATACAATTACATGAAACAGTGACACGCTCAACAAAAATATTTGTGTTACTGTTTGATGTTACTATTTTTTGTTGAATGTGTTACTGTTTGATGTTACTTTTTTTTGTTGAGCGTATCACTATTTGATATTACAATTTTTTTGTTAAGCGTGTCACTATTTCATATCACTGTATTACGTGTGTGTGTGTGTGTCTATATATATAAAATTTTAAAATTCAAATAATACATAAATATAAAAAAGAATCTTGAAACTCTTACATTCTAATCTTAAAAGTCTCACATTTAATTAGGTATGTCCTATTTATGATAGGGGTAAAAGGGTTTTTTTGAATTTTTATTAGCATATGTACTTCTATCCCAATTA